CACCTATTTCCTAATAAGTTTACTTTTACAATGACAAATCATACTTCAAGTGTGTTCAAAAATAAATTAATATTGATGAAGTTTATGCTTAAACACTACTTCATGATGACCAAAACATCAACATTTCAAAACATTTTATCCAATTATTTAAAATACAAAGAGTTGCATTACTGTAATAAAATACTGTTGAATACCGCTGTTGCGATAGGCTTATGTGTACAAGTTGAGCCTAACAATGCGCAATGTAGTTTCTTTCAACTCGACAGTCTTCTTTAGATTTAGTTACAACAATAATTAATCATGAATAAGACTCATTTTTACTATCCCATAAATGTATATACGGAGTAATATACATATTACAGGGAAAGTTATGTAATGCTGCGGAAAATCGATTTCGTGATTTCAACGGAAATACACGGTTTGGCCGCCTGATAAAGAAAAAAGGTTGTTTTTTTGCTTCAAAACTTCCGTTAGTTCGTTTGTCCGCTCGTCTGTTTGTCTGTCTGGTGTAGGTGAACAATAGTAACGTCTAAACCATGCGTAGGATTGTTTCCAAATTGAAGAAACCCCTGCCAATCTGGCCTGAGTCGATGCTCTGCGATTATGAAAATCATTCATTAGTTACTAGGGGTACTTTACATTAAGCCCCTCGGGAATTTTCAAATTTTTATCAAAAGTGGCTTCAAATTTTTTCTTTAAATTTCTTCTAAGAATATAGTAGAATACACTTATAAAAGCATAGGTCAGATTTTGACAGTTAACTCACAATTTTCGAAAATTTCAAAAGTTTAAATTTTTTCGGGGTCATCCTACAACTACAAAAAATTAAAGATAGAGACTTGAAAGAATATTTGTGGTGCATAATTTGTTTTTTTATTAAGTTCATGAACACTTTTTTTTGGAAATTTTAGTAGTTTTCGCCCAATATTGCGTGCAATTAAAAAAAATAAAAGAAAAAGATTGTTTCAAAAATATACTCCAATTTTTTCATTAAACGTATGGTGGGAATTGTGCTAAATGCATTCTATATGATGACATAAACGCTATATTGCTCTATTCTTTTATTTTTTTCAAAAATTACAAAATGTAACTTTTTTAACTGCTCTCTTACGTCGTTATTATTTACATTAGCGGAAATTTGTTCATATTGTTACATTTATTAGTACATGTGCTTTAAATAATGTCATATAAAGCTTCTCGAAAATTTAATTGTTTCCTTGAAAACTAGCTCAAAATTTTCCATTTTCAGAAACGCTCAAACGCCATTTTCTCAAAAACGGCTCCAAATGTTTTCTTCAAACTATTCGGAGTCTTTTTTTCTTTCAAAAATTACACAACTAAATATTTTGCGGTTCTATTGGGGTTTTATTTGGTTCTCTAAAAGGTTATATTTGCTTCACATGCAAACCAATCTGTTTACATGTACTTAGACACTACCTTGTTGGCTAACCTGTTGGCACGACTCCCGCGCAGTGTCCAGGTATTATAAGATATTTTGACAAGCAGACTTAATTGCAATTTTGAGTGAAAGTGAAGATGCTGTTTTTAAGCATTTTGGTTCTGAACACGATCCTAGTGGGGCTAGCAAAACTGAAGAAGACGAGACACCAAGGAAGTGCAAAAGCAAAACATAATGATGTAAGAAGGTAAAAATATTTTGTAATTATCAAACTATTTATTCTTTATCAGGTCTAATTAACAACCAGTCAAAATTTATAATAGTTCGTCAAAATTGGGCTTTAGGGAATTAATTTGGATGTCCGGAGGCAAGGTTACCAACAGATAAGTTGGAGGGCGATAGGTTACATAGATCCTCTGTCCTTGCCGACACATGCAATTCTTAGAAAGACTTGGCTCTGTGTGCCTCACACGCACTTTAGCATTCGTATGTTTGAATGTGACAATAATATAGTATACCCCTTACTAAACTGTTACAAGTACACGTTTTGGTCTGTAAATGGCTGATGATGTAAGTAAGATACGAGAACTTCTTTTAAAATACGTTGTTTGAAATGAATATTTCGAAGAAAATTCTGTGAGTTTAGATGTGCACCATGAAGTAGGCAAGCAGGATTTAGAACAATATCAAAACATTTTGAAGGTCACTTATTTTTGCACAGGTATACAAACATGATAAACATACTGTCGATGCTGATTTTCTTATCTTCAATATATTGCTGCAACAAGTGGAAGAGTAATAAATTTAGAAAACAACGAGCAATTTATTTAACATCGACGGAAGTACCTACATGAAGAATTTGACTCATATCTTGTTACTCAAGGAGTTGCAAAGATCTAATATTACTTGTCTTCCGGGAGAAATTCAATAAATGCTGAAAGTAACATTCCTTCTAAAGCACGAAGTACAAATAGAGTTAAGTCTATAAAAAACAAACAAAATATATTTGCAAAAACTATTATACTTTTTCAAATTTATGCAAACGTGCAAAAAATTACTATTGATAATAAATAAAGCAGGAACATAATTATGATTTCTTGTTTAAAAATGAATTGGCTGGCATTGTTTTCATGTTTACGTAATTTTTTTTTACGGAAATTGTTGTGTAAACAGAAGATGCCAATTTGTAAAAATATAAAATGTACAATTTTAAGTAAGGAAAAGGGAGCTTATTTAGCCTAGATGTAGAAATGGAGATGCCAACTCTGGATCTGTTGTATGATAGACAAAGGGCGCCATCTTGCGATCGCGCCAGAAACTACCGCAACGGCCCGACTGCAGACCGCTCGACAGAGACGTTGGACGCCGGACACACGTGCTACGCTCGTCACTACTCATATGGTGTATTTCAATGTTCGCTTAATATACGCCATTCCGATTGAGTATCTGTTTTCGTTATTCATACAACAGGATCAAATCTACTTCAAAAAATTGATAAAAAAAACAATAACATTATAGCTACGATAAATTTAACTTTAATATGTATGGAAAATATCATTTCAAATATAAGTGTACTTCATTAATTTACAATAAAATACTTTTTCCATTTCTGGTTCGCTATTTCTAAGTAATGACATTAAATTAAAATGTCAATATTATTGAGTACTAAAATAAGATACCCAAATATAAATTCATTGAAATCCATTAAATGATAATATTGCATCTATAGTTGCAAATATTTAAACAATATACCAGTCAAATTTTCCGACCATCAAAGATAGAACCTTTTTGCTCAAACTTAAAAATACAGATTGAGAGTGAAAATGTTGTGTCTATAAAAATAGGATCTTGGTTTCTACCAAAGTTACCATGCTTTTCGAATAACTATGAATTTACGATTTTGAGCTTGGATGTCAAGAACACTGTCAAACTTTGAATACATTTAATAAAATAGATTTTGTTTTAGAGAGGGAAATGCTTTCCTGAAAAATTTACTGCGGTGCAGACAAAACATTTTTACTTTAGGGGGCGCGAATCAGGAAACCGAAAAAAAAGTAAAATGCCAAAAAATGTACTTGGGGCGACGGCAGACGTCAACAGGCAAGAATATGTGGCAAGTCCGAGTAGCTAGCCAAGACCTATGGAAATAGAGAAGTAATACGGCAAAGACTGCGCCATTCTGTACCACCAGTAATTGCTTTTGGCGTGCTCGATAAGAATTGCGCCGCGGTCAGGGGAGAGCAGGAAGGAGCCCTGGAGGGTGGCCCTGGCCTGCGCTGCGAAGCGCAAGCCCTGATACTCGATGAAAGTTTGTTTGTTAAAGGTTTACGCGCCCGCCATTATACACCCGTTAACTCACATATTTAATGTATACTTATGCAAAGTAATTTTTCCAGATATTTCTAAAAAAAACTAAGATTAAGCCGCTTTTCAAAGGAGTTAACAAACATGAAATTCAAAATTATCGGCCAATTTATCTTTTGTCGGTTTTCAAAAATGTTAGAGACTTTTTTTTACATACGAATGAAAACATTTCTTAGTAAACATGACGGGTTTTCAGATTGACAACATGGGTTTCGAAAATCAAAATCTGCGGAAATCTGCCGATCAGAGAAGGCGGCCGCTAGTCTCATCATCTCCTATATTATTTCAGTAGTATAAATCAAATTTGCCGCACTCATACGCAACCAATATTTATAAATGATCTAAAGAAGAATTGAATTGATAAATTAAGAATTGCACCTTGACATTAACAATATGAAGTATTTGAAATTTATAAAAAACTAAATATTCGTGTCAAATACAACCGGTAGCACTCGGGCAAGATTGTTAAAACCTATACTATAGTTAAATAACATCTAAAGGAAGCATTCTAGGGATTTAAAAAGTAGACGCTTTTGAGGCCACACGCCACAAAGAAACGTTCCAAACGCCTAGTTCTTCACAGGACGAGATCTTAGTCATTCTACAATAGTTTTATTAGTTCGGCGCTTCTCGATACTACCCCATCTGTTCAGGTATGTGCAGAATCTGCAACTGTATGTGAAATTGAACTAATTACTTGATATTATATGCGATTACATTGCACAGATGGGCATTGCTACTCATCAATAAAATTAAATAAAATTGCAAAGACTAGTGCTGCACTTGTGTGATTCTGTATTTTGCATGGACAACGTTACGTCGCTTTCTCAAAAGTAAAAAAAAAAGTGATATTTTGGCAACTATCAAGGAAAGGGACAAGTCAATGAAGTATTTTATAATTACATCAAATGTTGTTAAGGATGTGTTTTGAATTGCTCCAAGAACATCTGTCTACAATACCGAAAAACCTTTGTTGTAAATTTGTTTCAAACGAACATCATTTAAACAAGCATTGTTTTCTATTATCTGATATTATGTAAGTTTATTGGAAGTTACATTTATAAAATTCTAACCCAAAAAGCATTTTCTATTAAAAACCGTTCTTCTTAACATGAAAATGAAAGGATATGGACGACGATGGGGTTAACATGCGTGTGTTCTTGCACGGGTACGCTTTTTTAACGTACGGTTCTAAAAGTTCCATGCACAACCAATTGTTTCAGGCTGCTGCATCAACATGTGGTTCGCTGCGAAGCCTACTGCTTCTCTTCTATTCCTCCTTTTGCCCCTCGTCATGTCCTGCGAGCAAATGGAGGAGCCAACTGTGAAGGTGGCGCAGGGCGATGTGCGAGGCGTTCGAATCGTGCGCTCCGCCAACGCACCTCTCCACGCCTTCTACGCCTTCAAGGGCATCCCGTACGCGCGACCGCCCCACGGCGAACACCGCTTCAAGGTGAGATTGATTGGCGATTACGAGCGGATTGAACGGATAAGGTCATTATTCCCGCATATGTAGTGCATGTTTTCTCTCGAGAGGTAGCAGAGATCGTCGCTGAATAGTGAGATTCGGCGCACACCTATACAGCAGGCGGGGTTTCCTTCTAACCAGGTATATCAAACCACTGGCATACCACCCCAACCTGTACATGCTCTTAGTTCCCCGCATGTATGATAGTACAGTGTGCGTAAGTGAGATGAGGATAGGACAAAGAGGAAGCAATAATGATTGCGTGCGGTCCATGGCCCGTTTGTTAGGGCACTGTTCCGGCAGTCGCCTATAGTGCTCATTGGAGAAACAACTGAACTAATCAGAAACAACAATTAAAAACTTACGTACTAAGCTGTTGATACACTTGAAACAAAATCTTAAGAGTTAAAGGTTCTTAAGACAGCATAGCTTTAGCTTTAACAGCAAGAAAACCATTGCTGGTATGGATGGAGTGGTGGAGGATTTGTTTTGTGATCATTTTAATAATATAAACTGTTTAACCACGAGAGATGCTAATAACCTGAGTGTTTAGCTGATTGTCATGTATGGATGAAAAATATCCATGTTATTATACGTTGACAATATAAAAGACAATTCAAGAAATATGTAATTCAATAAATAACAAACTCAAAACAAAAGTAGTACATACACTTGTATCACAAAGACCGGGAGGTTCTTGGTTCGAGTCCCGACAGTGGCAAGATTTTCGTCACTAGCTTGTTAGCTAGGTCGAATTCAATCTTTGTCTCGAGAGTAATTATGGAGGCCAGCAGCTCTGGACGTAGTTTTTGGTTTTTTCTCCGATCAACACCAGGCGAAGGCCGGAGAGTTCCCTAAAAAACGGTTCACGGCCAACGCGCGATCTTTCCTTCCTCTTCCTTATTCTATCCTCACCCCATACTTACCCACACTGACACTAACATGCATTACACTACCGCACATGCCGGGAGACCGGTCGGAAGCATAGAGCTTGACCCGTCTGGGACGATGCCCCACTGGTGGAATTACTTGGTTGGGGAAAACCCCGTTAGCCGAATCGACCGGCGCTGGATCTCGCTTTCCAGAGGGGAAGATAATGGCCGCATCCTGAGAGGGGGACATGCATTACACTTACGGGACTAATGACCTCATTAGTTGACGCGCCCAGAATCACTATGAGCTAACAACCTCACGTCAATCACAAATTAACACAATAACGATATGAATGAAACCGTTTTTGTATAACATCACTGTAAACGACCATTTCCGATGGAATACATAGTTCATAAAATGGTATTTTATGGCACATATTATTACGTTTTCACCGTTTATGGCACTAGTAAATGCTGAGGCGGCCGTAAAACGTATCACCGACTACCGTTCTTTGTTCAGAAATGTCGAATACAAGTGACGGTAAAATACCGTTTTCAAAAATGTTCATTCTTTTATAAATTTATAGTGCTGGTATGGTATACAACCAACTAGCGTGAGCAAATATTTACATAACACACACTTTACTGCGGCCGACTTGAAAATTAAACGACTTGTTCCGTTTGTCAGTGACAATACACCATCCTCTTTTAAAGATGCCAACAAATACGGTTCTTAAATCTCCAAGGAGTCATTTCACGTCTCGTAAGAAAATAGAAGTATACCTTATATTATGTCTTTATGGTTATTATGTATCCAGCGTGTAAAAAGCAGACAAGAAGAAATCAACTGTTTGCTGACTGTTTGCCAACTTTTACGTATGTACTTTCGAAAAACTCATGATAGTGAATAATGTGTTCATCACAGCAAATTAAATTAAATGCGGTTTTCAGGACCCGGAAGAAGTAGGTTCTTGGAACGGAATACGGAATGCGACCTCATATAGTTCAAACTGTATTCAGAAAAGTTTGGATACGCAAAACGTAACAGGGGATGAAGACTGCCTCTACCTGAACGTGTTCACGGCTGGTGTAAGTATTATAGATTAAGCAATTCATACAGCGAGACTCATGACTTCAGATACTTTATAAACAAATTTTTTAACAGCCCAATAAATATGAAACCTTTCGAAAATTGACATTTGACAAAAGAAAGTTTTTATACTGAGTGGATTGTTTATTTAAAGAAAGGAAGTGTTTTTATTCTCTACAACACTATTTGAACGACCCTTTGTTTATTAAAGTTTATGGTTTATTTACGACGAAATACTTAAATACTGTTTTACCACCTAGTCACCGTTGAAGGGATAATGTGTAGGAATACCTTTCTTTTAGCACTAAAAACCAGTCATTCCTTGACCAAACAGGAGTTCATCCAAGGTCAAGGTTTCGAAGCTCTTGATATAGTTTTGTCGCCGTACAAAAGTTCAAGTAAATATTACTTCGAGCAGCTTTTACATGATCTCAAGACTCGATATTGCTATCAGAAATAGGGTATTAAGGAATAGAGCATGCAGTGGACATGGTTGCAAAACGTCAGTTTTGTAACTTGACTCGTTGTGTAGTTATAAATTATACGATGCTCTGTAAACTCCATGTTTGCTACAAGATTATGCGGGGAAAAAATAAATAATATGTGTACAAAAGGTACAGGAAGAAAACAACTAAATTTTTTAATGTTTCTCTTAATGTTCTAAGTGAATACATCTTATAAACATCTATACATCTTCCAAAATTCTTAATCGTATTACAGTATTAGATTAGTTCGATATTACAGGAAAAGTATACTGACGAAATACCACACATTTGAAAATGTAAAGTGATAAAAGGCAAAAAATAAAGTGATAAAAGGCATGAACATACAACTCCGTGAATTTTTATTCCACATCGTTTCGTTCCTTTTGCGTTAGATTGCGGGCAACACCGATGCCTTTCCAACGACGCCTACCGTGAGGTTTTGAATCCCAGCGGTGCAAATTTTAGATACTAGTGAGGAATCGGGGTAGAAATTCAACCACTTTCTAGAAGAGAATTATAACAGGTTTCTCTTATCGATAGTTTTACTATTGTTTTCTCTGTTCAATACCGGGTGAATGCATAGCAGTATTCTGCACATTTATTTTGTGACACATAAATAGCACTCTGGGATCTCACGGTCTCCAAAGATTTTTAATGTTACAAAATATTCAGAAAATTATACATAATTCAAAAGTGAGTTATTGTATTTTATATTAATTTAAGAACACAAAATTAAATACAAAAATGTAATTTAAAAAGTACAATGTCATACTTTTTAACGTCTAATTTTCCTTAAGATCAGATTTCATTCAGATCAAATCAGAATTATTACAAATACACGTTCCGTAAGACAACAGATGAAACGAAAAAGTTATGAATTCTCATTGTCACATCGGATAAGCATTACAGACGGAATAATTTTTCAATTTTATTATTTGTGCGCAGAATAATAAGAAACTACATACTGGGTTCCAGTAGATCCCAGTTCCACCACTGAGCAATTAGGTACTGTCGGCGGCGAAGTATTAGCACTAATTGAGAATTTAGGAAGCATGAAGGAAAGCTCACTGTTTAATTAAAATTTATGCAAAGCGCTTATTGGCTGTCGTGAGATATTTCCACTCCGTGTGAATTTGAAATGTTGTTAGGGTCCAAAACACCCCAATGGCGGCTGCTCCTTAAGGGCTCTAGGCACCCTCACCCCACCAACAAAAAAAGGAAAAGTTTTAAACTTGCAATAAGTCAAGTCGCTTAATTTGTGCATACAACCAGCGCAATTTTTGATGCTGAATTTATTTTTATGTGCCAGCTTCAGAGAGAGAATAATGTTTTTGGAATTGGTAGCATCGTGGGCTATCGTGAGTCCGTCCGTAGCTGGTGCATGCGAAGCAATGAAAGCTTGACGATGAGTGGGGTTCTGGGAGTTGGGTTGGGGCAGGGAGTGGCTTTACAGTTTTGTTCCGCAGAGTCCGTGCCTTCTAACTAAGCTAAGAATACCGAACCTTTCATCTGATTTCATAAATTACAGTTTTGTTGGCTGGAAATATTTTTTTAATGTCTTGTTTTCAATAGAGCACAATCGGTTATCAACGTAAAAATTGACAGACAAGTTTTAAAATTTGAATGCGTGCATAGCGTTGTAAACTACAATCTATAGTTCTCCTCGATAAAGAAATATTCTGAAGAGGAAAAAAATGTTCGTTACATTATAGTTTGGAATCATGCGGACTTCGTAATTCGCAACCAACCGACCGCCACTGGCCCAGTGTGCAGTTCTTGGCTAAAGAAACAGGCCACGGAACGTGCGCTATGTTTCTGCCTTCATCCTTGCGCCTCCTCACCACTTACACAAGCAGTACATTTCTAGTTATTTAAGAAGAGCAATCGGGAGTTTAGAGATTGTTGTGGCTGCGGCAGTACCCTACCTAGAACGAAACAAAAATAGCAAGCGGCCGGGAAAGTCAACCAGATATCTCATGTTCAAGCTGGGGAGCAACACCGTCACACACAGTAATATTTTTGAACTACAGTGATGTCAAGGCCTCCTACTGGTGACAGTGGCACTTTTCGTGGAATGTCACGAACATGTCAGCGCAACTAGCGTCGGGAAACGAAACAATCTGTAGTATCCTCGCCGTTTTACAACTTGATGGAACCGCGTGTAAAAAAGAGGATATGCATCGAAAAATTAAAGTAAAAATATAAATAAAAATAACAAGCTTTTAAAACGTTTTTATCAAAGTCCCATCTAATCGTATTTCATATGAAAAGCGTAAAATCATGAGCGATTTGCACTCTTTAGAGCTCTCCTGTGGCGAGGTGATCAACTCCGTGGAGGGGTGATTTCGCCGTGCTACGGACTTCCATTGGTGGCACTGACCTTGACATCACAAAACTACAGTTACGGTTCTAATAACATCGGCAGTTGGGGCACCCTAAATCAATATAAACACTTACTATTCTTTTCGCAGCCTGCTGAGTCTTGGAACTCATCCAAGAGACCAGTCATCGTCTGGTTCCATGGCGGCGCTTTCGTCGTAGGGAGCGGCAATATGGAGAACCGGAGACCAGATCCCCTCTTGAGACATGGAATCGTGTTTGTGTCTGTAAACTACCGCCTGGGCGTTATGGGTAAGGGGTCATTACCTGAACTAACGGGATTTACTGCTTTAATATGTTGCGTGCGCCACTGGTTAGACGTAGTATAATAACAGGTAATACACAATATATAATGTGATAAGTTAATGTCTGCAAAAGCTACTTGGGAAAATCAAAAAAAAATTACTTGAACAGCAATTACATGGGCAAATAAGTTTAATTGTGTATTATAAATATTCATTTAAACACTCCGAGGTGGCCAAAAAAAAGGTTTTAAAATGCATTGTTCAATTAAGGTGTCATCAATATTCATTCTTTTTCCCCTTATACATGAGTGTTTGCAAAAAAGGACCGGAATAGTCCTGCAGTTGGCGGAGCATATGTACTACGCATTTCGAAAGCTTAGTAAGTGTAGCGCAACTAGTTCCGAGTTCCGTGCTGTCATTGTTGTCGAAAAGCCATTGTTCTTTCAGAGCAATTTGTTTCTGTAAAAGCAGTTTCGCTTTGTCCTCGTTTTTGCCTTGGCGGATTTAAATGAATTGCGAGTTCTTGAAATTATTGCATTAAATCCAGCCTGGTGATAAAACTAAGTTTTGAACGTCTGTTAAATTCGAATATTGACAAGAAACTATGCAATCGTTCGTGAAGACCGACGAAGGACATATGAGGAGATTAATACGCATCACGTAGATCTGCGACCATCAAAGATTTGGGGTTGGAAATGAGAAGGGTCAGAGCAAAATTTGTGCCTTGGGGCCCCAATGCACAGCAAAAAGACAATTGAGTTTAAATTTAATGTGCATTGGGACACCAATTCTGAACCGAATCAGATTTTTTCTAAAGACATTACTGGCGACAAGACATGCGGTTATGGTTACGACCCTCAAACCAATCTAAAGTCAAACCAGTAGAATACTCCATTGTCGCTTCGCCCAAAAAAGCTCAAGTGAAATCAAACATCAAAATGATGCTCACTGGTTCATTTTTATGTCATACATTCTGAATTCGTCTCACAAGATCAGACGGTTAATTAAAAAAACTTTGTAGTTGGATGTTTTAAGATTACTTCACAGTGTGCGACAAAAAAGGCCAGATTCGTGACAGAGAAGAGAATTGATTTTTCACCATGACAACTCACCTGCTTATGCAGCAATTTAATTGCGTCAATTCTTAGCAACAACCACGTGACCTCCTACTTCACACCCCTTATTCTCGCGACCTCACTCCATGTGATTTCTTCATGTTTTTGCGAATGAAGTGGATCATGAAAGGGCGGGAAAGCAGTAAAAGAATCGGAATCGGTGAAAGCAGTAAAGAAAAAAGGAGAAGTCATCGACCATTATACCAGACGTGTTTGAAAACTGTTTCCAGGAAAGAAAACGAAGATTACAGAAATGCATTAAATGAAATGGAGAGTAATTTGAAGGTTATAAAAATCTTAGCTATAAAAATATTCTGGTTACTTTTGGACACCCCTTCGTAAAGATGCCACTTCCCTAACTTTCATACACGCTTATGCACTCTAATTGTTTACTCTTAACAGGAATAGTAGATGGTAATATTTTTTTTAGATTAGCTTTAAGAGACGGTAGTTGTAAAGCTAGAACCAATGTTTCTCATTGGTTAAACAAACCCATGCACGTAATACAAATAGCTTTTACAAACGTTATAATTTAACCAAACAATATTCCATCTATTTCATTTCGAGAACTTTATTGTTCCTTCATTAGGCTTTCTCAACACGGAGGACTCTCAGGCGCCAGGCAACGCGGGCTGAAGGGACCAGACGATGGCCCTGCGCTGGGGTGCAGAGGAACATCGGCTGCCTTCGCGGAGGACCCCAACAAGCGTCACCATCATGGGCGAGGCAGCGCCGGAGGAGCGCCGTGCACTACCACAGGCTCTCTCCGCTCTCCAGAGGTACGTCTCTCTGTATGCAGCCGCAATCAGAATTTGCATAACAAAAATAGAACAGCATAAGAGCCTGACTACAAGTTTCTCAAGCAAAAACTTCTCTAGAGGTAATTCGCTCAGCTTCTCAGCTCAATGTAAATACGAGTTCAAATGCAACTCTAAGGAGAGCCATTAGAATACTGACCTTGAAATGCACTTTCTCCACACGTCTCTAGGAAAGTACTTTCCCCATTACAGCAAAAGAGGAGACATTGTGGACCACACAACATGACCCAGTAAGTAGATAATGCAGAATCATTCGATAAGCGGGAAGCGCGCTGTGACATTTAGCCATTAAATAACTCGCATGAGGTGTTCTGTTTCCATGAATTAAGATGTTCGGAATCTGATGCAAACCTGTTTTTTTCGGGTTCAAATCCAGTGAGTGGAAGCGCCTTGCCCACCGGAATTCTCTAGGTTTCCCAATCTTGTTACATGGCGTCATCTTCAGGAAGGAGGAGGTGTATTTGCCTGAGTGGATTTATTCCAATCAGCCTGCCCATGGCATTCTGTCCACGTCAAAAAACAGTGACCTTCACAGACAGGCAGATCCACGGCCAAACATAATTACTGAGCGCGGAGCGAATTGTCAGTGTTGCCTTTTCCGTTGCCAGTTCGACATCATTGAACTCTTGTGTTCTGTGCCTGTAGGGCTGTGTCACGGCGCCATCTCCGTGAGCGGGAGCGCCGCTGCCAAGATTTGATTCCCTATTACATGTGACAACTTCTGAGCTACAGTATACTCTGTGCCACCAGGGATGTTCACGGCGCATCGCGGTGAGCGGCAGCGCGCTGCCAGATTAGGTCTCTCCCTATTCCATTGTGACACCTCTGAACGCAGTATACTCTGTGCCACCAGGCTGTTTCACGGCGCCATCTCGGTGAGCGGGAGCGCGCTGCCGCGTGGCGCGGTGCAAGCGGCGAGGGAGCAGGCGCTGGCGCCTGAGGCGAGATTCGCTGGCGCCTGTCCGCAGCATGCCGGCAGGAGGACATCGTCAGCTGCCTGCGGAATGTCGACGCTCAGGAGGCTTGACGTCTTCGAGCTCGTCTTCAACCAATACGATGTCCCGCTTCAGGCCGGTCTGGTTTAAAGGAATTTTGTATATGCAATGTGGAGGAACTAAACCCCTGTGCATTACGTAAAAATACGCAGTAAAATTTCATCAAATGTTAAAATGAGGAGTAATTATCTGAATTGTTTAAAGCAGTTTTGATGATGCGTGTACAGTGCGTGGCTAAGATAGGAAAGTGCTCGTTAGCCTAGTGAGCTGAGTTACGTAATTGAATGTGAGTTACAAACGACACTGAGAAATATGAGTAATATGGATCAGGTATCCTCTGTCATGCGTTTGAAGAGTGTGATAGCTATCATTTGATGGCACTGTTCTGGTCAAAATGTCTATTTTCACATACACCGAAACGTAACCTCTTGCCTCAGAGCCAATTGCTTGTCTTAACTTCAAGGGCCCATTGCGGTTCAATTCTCGCATAAATCTTGTATGGTGAAATGCACTCACAGGGGTAGCCCAAACTGGCGCGCATGTAGTGTATGTGTGTGTCGGGCGAGTCATAAATCCCAATCACTACCTGTTAAGCTTTCTTGATTTCCGGCGTCAGGTAGTGACGCAGGAAACTTGCTATTGCGAGATGCGTACGCGCAGGTTCTGCCTGCCCTCTATATAAATGATCATAATAAAGTATAATTTAACGGAGGAATACCTCAAACGCGATCTACGCCAAAGTTGCTTAAGAAGAAATGTTGGTCAGAAATAGTGAAAAGTAAAAATAGACTTTCAGGATTTGAAACGGGAACATGCCGGATAAATAAATATTTGTATAGATAAAACCAGTAGATGAAGAAAAGGTTATGGAATATACTTCTAATGAAATAACTACTATAAACAAAAATGTTAAGAGTTAAATCATTCTATAATTTGAAAAAACAAAAATGCTAACATAGGAATTTTTTTGAATTTGATAGGAATAAATGTTCTTTCTTCTTTTGTTTGGGGCCATTTTGGGGAAGGGTGGTATTTTTAGTAATATTTCATGAAAATTTAGTATGGGTCAAGTTGAAGAGGCAAAGTGACTGTATGCCCAAAACATATTCTCGGATCTTTGTGAAAGCAGCCCATATCTGCACACATTGTACGCTATCAGTCAAAACTCAGTGGAACACTGCCTTCATATGACGGCCATGTTAACACAGGGATGCAAATTAAGATATATAACTTAAAAATAATTAGCTATATACTCACGAAACTACAAATGGAAAAGTTAGAAACTCTCAAACAAGTAGCATTATTATTAATACTCATGCATTAGAATAACCACGAATGCTTCACAAAAGTCTAAAGGCACTTGCGACTTTTAATAAACGTGTGAGCATTAGAGCTTCACAATAGAACACAAAGCCAAACTTAACACTTCTAGGTCTTTTACTTGACAACACTGGGTTTCAGCGTTCCCAAAAAACCGTACTCCACATGCGTTCGCTAGACACTTGAATCGTTTGGCCAAAAAATAAGGCATGTAAATCGGGTATAATGCTACTATCAGCAATCATTTGCAAACACGGAAGTCACATGAAAACCTATCTACAGCAATTCTTCAAACGCTTCAAAAATCTTTAATATTAGTTTACCATTAATCTTCATTTTTTATACAGTACCAGAATTCTTTTTGAAGAACACTTATTCTACCTCGTTCCGTTGAAGACTGTCAGCTGCACGTTCACCCTTTCCTTACGCGGAAACCGGAGGAACTTTGCCAAAAATGCGAACTTTCTCTCGTTGTACCCTACATGACGGGATTTACCTCAGGAGAAGACTCCTCATCGCCGTGTAAGTAAACATATTGAAAGTCACACGTTCCATAAAAACAAAAAAACTATCTCGGTTGGTTAAAAGCGCACAATTGTGGCCCAGGGTTACAAACATTCATGCCCGTCCGTTATTCACTTTGTATCGTCTAGTTTGCCGGATAAATCATTTATCACGTATCATGTTGACCTTGATATGTTTACATTACTGAAACACAAATTGTAACATTTCGAGTTTGCGTTATATTGCAAATTTTG